TTTCAAGTTTTTAGTAGGGAAAACAATACTCCATAGAATTCTTAATATTATGCTTCGGAGTAGGAAGTATCAGTCAAATAATTTTATAAGAATAGAAATGTTTTTTTTTTTAAATTCTAAATCTAAGAAGCCTTGACCACAACTAGATTTCTCTAACCAGAGATCAGAGGAATATAGTATTTGAGATTAAAAACCAGTAAATCACGTAAGAACTTAAGCATTAATGATTAGGGACCATTCATGAGATATTAGGTACAACCACAGCACTAATGTCTTTAAGTGCTACATTACTCAGATCTAGCTGGTGGGCTTTTTACTTTTCCTGGATGGATTTTAACTAAATAGACTTTAGACACTTGGATATAGATAAATGCCTAATTCAGTAATTAGTATTTTAAAACTGTGAAACCTTTTAAGTTAAGTGGTCTATTAATTAACTACCAATTATCTTGTCTGACTATCATATCAATAGAAGTAAATTACCGACTAGCGATTTGACAGATTTAGTCCTTTACCATGCAAAACTTCTTCAGAACATAAAAGGCCTGGAGTTAAATGCTTTTGCTTCCCCCTTTTGGTTAATCGGGGATCAATTTGCTGCTCTCGTATAAATGCCAAGTGCAGCTCTTTGGTCAAAAAGGATCTACAGATAAACTTTGTCTTTTAGAAATGGCAAGCAATGATTTTTTTTTTTTTAAGATTCCTCTTAAAAAATAACAAATGAAGCAATACTTAATGTTTTGGGCGAAACATGTTTGCAGTTGCTATATAGAGGCCAACTCTCCATATTTCAAAGGACACTAGAGTGGCATTTTCAAGCTTTTGCATCTCACCCAGGTACAGAGAGAACCTGAGTGGACTGTTTCTCTGGCTTATGCCAACATTCAAGTGCACTGTACTGTACACATTCTCACGTTCTTGTCCTAACTGCGAATGTTGCACAACAGATTATGCTGATTAGAACCTACCTCAAATCTATCACTTCTTGACTGGTGACCAAGGGAAGGTTCCTAGGAGAGCTGCTGGTGATAGAACACTGGATGGTAAAGTATCACAGCAGACTGGGGGGCTGTGCAGAATAATGCCAAGTACTGCAAAAGCTTCTAACGTGTATGCAAATAGGTTCGACGTTAAGAAGCAAGGAAAGAACTGCAGCAGGAATCCTCTCCTTGAGGCTCGGCCACTGGCAAATATGAATGACTGCCATATAGTCAAATTGAGCTGATTCAGATTGCCTTCTCAAAGTCGCTAGCCTCGCACCAATGAGCAGAGTCAATATACTACAGTAAAAAGCAAGCTTACAGGTAGGGCAGGGAGAATGGAAAAGTTGTGGAGGGAAACAAAAGGAGACAGACACAATAACGAATGTGAGACAGCCTCACTTTGAGATCCCGTCAATCTTATGCAGCTTGAATTAGTCCAACATAAGGCTTACCCTTTGAAACTTCAGAAGCCAGACCCATGAGAGCATTCTCTGAATAGGTTACCTTCTAAATATTTAAGCGGAAGCTTAGCCTATACTATCAAACATTTACTGAGTGACTAGGAGTAGAGTTTTGTTCCTGGCAGGGGAAAACAAACAGACGGCCATAACAAACTGCCTACAGCCAGCTTGCCATCTACTTGGGGATCTCAGGGCACAACGAATCAGAAGTTACACCAAAGAGCACATACTATGCGCAGAGGATGGGGGAGACAACAAACACTGCGAGAGATCAAGGGAAAGAAGAGGCAAGTCATTGAACGGCAGCTTCGCCAGAAAACAACGGGTTGCACAAGATGGTCTCTAAGGATCCCTGCGGCTCTGATAAGCAAAAATGCCAGAAAAGGGCTGGAGTGGGGATGGAGGTTACATGAAGAACTTGAGCCAGGCCTCAAAAGATATGCAGAGCGGAGAAGTGGGCCTTCCAGGCTGGGGGAGTGGCACGAGGCATGGTTCAAAGGAGGAGCCCGCATAGCTCTTCAGTGAACGTCCGCATGGTTTCTAGTTCGCTGCCTATGACTTTACCTCTGGGTCAGGATCAACACGCTCTTTATTATGTTATGAACACAGACACCAACTGCTACTTAAAAGGCTGGTTAAAGATGATCTGCTCAAATGATGAACAAATCTTTGCTCAGCTGATCCACTCTTTAAAATGTATGGGGCAACTTCTTTTCCCCACCCAGATGCAGCAAAAAGACATGCTGGTTATTTTTTCTGGAAGGGAAAAAGCACATGCCAATACATCTGGGAACAGTTACCGTGAACATTTTCACCTAAGGGGACTACTGGAAGGGAAACTGAATTCAGGTGGTAACTTGTACCACTTAAACCTCGCCCCTCAAAACACACAAAATAAATCACTATAAAATTATAGTAAGTCTTCTTTTAAATTTTGGTTGCTAGAGCTCTTCTTAAAAGGTCTGTAAGTCTTGGCAAGAAGCCAGAAATTCCAACTCTAAAATGAATTTTTTGACTCAATTTAGAAAATAAATTCTTAAGTTTAGATGCTTAGGGGAAAAACAGCTGGAGAATTCAGGAGCCTCCCAGATTTTAATATGAAGTGACGTCATTACTGTCAAAGCTTCCAAGAACTCTCTAAATTGATGTTAAGAGACGTTAAGCAACATCTCTAAGCAAAGTAAGGACTCTGAGAAGGTGGTATGTTCCTCCTTGGTATAGAGATTCAGGTCCACAGTAGTTTATTTCGTTGGAAATTTGATTTAATTTTCTACTTAGAAGTATATCAACTGATGTGCGTTTTCAAAGCGAAAGCAATGGATTTTCTATGCTTAATACACTCTAATTAGCTCTCTTTTTATAGGATGTCTAGCAAAAAGAAGCTTCTTTTCTCTTACAAGTACCTAACTGCTTGTAAGAGCAATTGTATGGAGTTTCTTTAAAAATCTCGTTATGTTTGGGACTTCCCTGGTGGCACAGTGGTTAAGAATCCACCTGCCAATGCAGGGGACACAGGTTTGATCCCAGGTCCAGGAAGATCCCACATGCTGAGGAGCAACTAGGCCCGTGTGCCACAACTACTGAGCTTGCACTCTAGAGCCCACGAGCCACAACTACTGAGCCCACGTGCCACAACTACTGAAGCCCACGCACCTAGAGCCCGCGCTCCGCAACAAGAGAACCACGATAAGAAGCCCACGCACCGCAACAAAGAGAGTAGCCCGCCACTCGCCGCAACTAGAGAAAGCCCGCTCGCAGCAACGAAGACCTAATGCAGCCAAAAATAAATTAAAAGAAAAAAATCTTGTTATGTTTGAAATTGTACAATTCAGCAAAATATTCATGCAGAGAAGGTAGGCAAGATGGTTAAACTTCAGAGTATTTTGTGTAGGTAAAAGTTCATATTTTGGAAACCATACATCATCTCAGTCAAAGGTTTTTGGAAAAAAACAATCCTGGTGTTGGTGGTTCATAACTAGCTGACCGACGGCTGGATATCTGTTTAAGGATGACAACGTGACTGAAATCAGCTGGTGTTTCTCTGGCAGCCTCATCCTTACCAGGCTTTAAATATGAAAACTACAGTCTACTTGCAATTTATGTGCATCTTTTATTTCAAGTGGTGGCTGTTTGTTTTACTCAGAATTATAAACACACAAGATTCTTGATACACTGTATTGCCAAGTTTATTCTGTTGTGCTGGCTTTTACTCACCTGATCCACTCCTTTGTCACTTGCCGCCTGTTCCTGTGGACCCCACGGCAGCAAGGACTTATATTCAGTTCCCCACCCCCGGTGCACACACACACAAGCACACTCAAAGCCCTCCAAACTGTATTTGGTAACCTCCTATGCGTTTAAAACATAGATATGAGTTAGCTCATGTCATTTAAATGTTCATTTCTAGAGCTCTGGAAATGAATTAAATAAAGCTCACGTTTAAAAATACAACATTAAAATAAGCTTCTTCCAGGGGCAGAGAAATGGTTTAATGTTCAAGGAGCAACATTTGAATAAGTACTTCTATAGCTAGATTAAGTTTTTAAAACAGTTGCTAAAAAATTAATGAGGTTTAATGTGACCTATTTAGGAGAAACAGTTCTTTGTTGTGTTCTGTTAGAAGGCTAAGCCGCCTATGGGAGAGAAAAAAAAAGAAAAACAACAAACCTATTTCCTTACCCTTTCTTTATTGGATCCTACCTGCCTACAAAAGAAAAGGAGAAATACTATGGGGGAAGAAAAGCAGAAAGTGGGTCAAGAGTGTACAGTTATAGGGGAGAACTTCACACCTACCATTACTGAAGATAAATTTAGTTGCAAAACTGGGGTTAGTTTTGCCCCCAGAGCAGAAGGCCCTCCCCTCTCATCTATTTAGATGATGTAATAGCTCTGATGATTAAAAGCCGACATGGTGCATGTCCCCGGTTTGCCAGGTCTCACAACACCCCTGCCCTCTACATAGGGACTCTGTGGTCCTATCAGGGTGACTTCTGTTCTCCAAAGAGACGCATCCTCTAAGCTGAGAAAGTGCTGAGATATACCCCAACAGGACAATGTCACAGACCCTGGGGACAGTCAATGGATGGTAAAGGAACTGCCAGGGTGGCCTGACCACTCCCATGGGACCACAAATGCTGATCTCAGAATCCCTGGCACTTTATAAAATGTGGCTGAGCAGTAATTTGGAAGCCTAAACTCTGACTTTAGGAATTCATAAGAACAACCAAAGTTTTACAAACTCAACAGAAAGTAAAATAAACAAACCCAGAGTTTTATGCTCCCTCTTGTTATTTTTATGGCAATCTTCCAAACTAGTTCAAAATGTTCAGTCCTCTACTCTCTCCAGAAATACTGAATTGGAGGGGGAAAAAAAAAGAAAACAACGATTTAATAGTAACTGGCATACGTTGTAATTCACCGGGGGAGGAGTGAGGTGGAAGTAAGCTTTGTGGTGAAAGAGTGCAGGTGGCTTTCAGGCTGGTCCCGAAGTCTCACTCCCTCCCAGCCTTCCTGCTGAGTAGGGCCCAGTAATAAAAACAAGCATGTTTATATTTACCCAGAAGTGTGCGTGGCAATTGACCATCATGGTTCTCTCAATGAGCTCATCAGGACATTCCAGAAGGTGATGCCCAGAGACCACGCCAGCATTATTGACCAGGACTGAGACCTCGCCAACCTCCTTGCGGACCCTCTCCGCTGTCAGGTAGACATTCTCTCTCTTTCCCACATCACAGGTGTAGGTAAAAACCTGCAGGTTACAGTGGGGCAGAATTTCTTCCTCACCATTCCCAGCTGTCCTCAGAAGTCCAGATGAAGAAAAAAAAATGGAACAGAGAAGGGATTGGGGGGGGGGTGCAAAACATGAGTCACGTGGCCATCAGTAGGACAAAGATCACACAAAACAAAAATCACTACAGTGAGCTTCAAATTTCTAACACCGTAAGCCTTGCCAATGACGGAGCTTACAGCTGCCTTCCTCCCCCAAAAGTCTTTGGGAATTACAGCAATTTACTGGATAACTCTGCTTAGGGGAAAATCATGTAATTGTGACAAGCCCAATACAAGTCAGACCTCATGGGATCGGCTTCCCGGAGCTAAAGACACCTGGAATGAACTGATCTCAGCCCAGAGAGTAACACCCCCTCCTCCCAAACACATGCACTACACACTCCTCTTTTTGGGGGAACAGTGGCCAGAAACAGCTCTTACTCTTTAGTATGTGCACCCTCAAAATGGAAACTCATCTCAAGGTTCACAAATCAAAATTGTAATTAATGATCTGAATTCATCCAAAGCCAAGAAATCAACCAAGTTTCTGATAAAAAAGTGGGACTCACACTGGTTTGGTCTAACTGGAGTAGCTGAACTCCCCAAAGAAGCATTCTTATATAAACCAAGTTTACAGGTAAATATGCAATTTTACCATATAAGAACTCAATTTAAAAACCAAAAAAACCTTCCCTGGAAAACGACTCTTCCCTTTTAGGTTTAGGCAGGGAGCACAAAAATCTCTATTTGCTACCCTCTTACCAATGGTGAAAACATACTAGTTTTCTGACCTAAAAGGCAAGTGCCAATAATTTTGGTGACAAATGATCAACATGGGGGAGGAGTGGTGCCCAAGTTAATCTTCCAGATATAGTTCAATGTTTTCCCTGGAAACGAAAAAATTGTCAAAAATGCAAGAGATTACCAAATCTCCCAGACCCAAACTTATGGTCAATTATGGTCTCCGCTTTGGCTTTAAAAAAAAAAACTCAGATTCAGGTTAGTTAATAAATATCCAGAAATGCAGATTTCCTAAGGTTATCAAAAACATGGAATGAATTTTACAATAGGGCTTGAATCCTTCAAGCGTTTTCCCTTAAGAGAGGAGGTTACCTTTCAATCAGGCTGAGTATGTAACTAAAGTACTGACTTGTCCCTGGTGAAACAATGTTAATTATTTTCCCGTGGCTAAAGTTATAGTGAAATCATCAATGCTGCCCTAGTCTCAGCGGTTCAGACCGCAGTAACATATACACATGCATCAGTAGAGTCTGAGAACAACTTCCCAAAGACACTAGTTTCCCGTTCGCAAACGAGACTGAGACATTTCTTTAGGATTCAAACCGGTGGTAACAAGTTCCCTCGCCTTCCTTAGCCTCCGAGGGCTTGGGAAACCCCACAGTCGTGCTCCAAGGGACAGGACCTCCGTTAAGACAAGGCTTTGGCGCACTTTCTCCCTCCTAATACAGAGGTGATCGTGTTCCTTTATTAGGGGACAAATTCTACTCGCAGAGGACCGGGCTGGGGTGGGGGTGGGGGGTTCTCTTCCTCGAGAGCAGGGTTGACCGTGACAGTGGGGTTTCGGGGCCCTCCAGGGTAGGGCGCGGGGGTGGGAAGAGGCTTGACCCAACAATGCTCGGGTGCAGGTCCCAGTTACCTTGCAGCGCCGCGGCGTCCGCCGCCTCCAGGTCGCGGTAGATGTGGCGCACCATGCCCGCCGTCTCCTCGTTGCTCTGAGTGTTGATGTCCCAGAGCACCAGCAGGGCCCGGCGCCGGGCGAACTCGAGCGCGAAGAGGCGGCCCAGGCCGCTGCCGGCGCCCGTAATGAGGCACACCTGGCCAGCCACGCTCTTTTCCTTGGGCCGCACCAGCCAGCGCGCCGCGGCCAGCACGAACGCCCAGAGCACTTTAAAAGTGACCACGAAGAACTCCACCACGATGTTCATCGCGACGTCCGGGGCCCCGCACGAGCCCAGCGCCCGCGTCCGCGCCCACCCCGCGCCCCGCAGCCCCCGAGATGCCCGGGGGCGCTTGTCAGAGCTGCTGGGACCAGAAGGCTGCGCCCCGCGCCCGCCCCCGAGGTGCCCGCCGGGATGGAGTGCGCAGCGCCGCTCCCCGCTTGCGCGGGGCCACTCCCGCCCGGGCTCGGCGCGGTGGCCCCGGGCTGTGCCCGCCGCGGCAGCCGCCCGGCTCGGCGCCTCCTGCCGGCTGCCGCCCGCCTGTCCCGGAGCGCCCGCGCCGCAGGCCGGTCCCGCTGCAGCGGCGGTGACAGCCGCGAGTTAGGCGGCGCGCGCTGCTCTCATGGCCAAGCCGCCGCCGCCGCCGCCCGAGCGTCCCCGGAGCCGGCGCGGCGGCTCCCTCTCACTCCGGGGGAGGGGCGCGCAGCGGAGACGGCACGGGCCGGCCGGCCGCCGCGGGAGTTGTCAACTTGATCCAAGTTGCGAGAGGGTAGAAGAGTGGGGTGCGGGGCAGCGGGAACGCCAGGAAGGGGCGACTCGCTCGGTGCAGGAGAGCGCTCCCCAACGTCTTGCAGCTGCCTCCACGGTCTCGTGTCCCCCTGCCCTGCACTCCCCGCGGCTGTCACTCGGGCACCGGGCTCCGAAGCGCAGCGCCGCTTGCAAGTCGGAGCGCTCCCGACCGCCTCTGAGAAGGCTCCACACTCCGCGCTATATAACCCGCGACCGGGAAGAGCCGGCGGCGGCATCGGCCCTCCCTCGGCTCGGCCCTCCCCGCCCCCGGGCGCACCCCGCCCCCGGCCCAGCCCCCCGCCCGCTCGCCGCCCGCTCGCCGTTCGCCGAACCGCGGCGGGGCAGCCCCTCTCACATGGCCGTGGCCGCAGCCTCCAGCCCTCCTCGCACCTCCCTTCGCGGTTCACGCCCCCTGCCGTGGGGTGTCCCGGCCTCCGCCTGCCAGACCGGACGGTCGGCAGTGCCCCGGCCATCTTCCTTTGGCCGTCCGCTCCTCGCTTGTCCCCGTCTCGTCACTTTCGTTAACCAGGGGGCTCTGGGTGGCCCCGCCTGCGATCAGGCGCTGCGGAAGACAGCCCTGCAGGCTGGAGGAACGAAGAGAAGGACCTCGGCAGCGCGGCAACGGGCGTGCCGGTTTTCCACTGGGGTTGGCAAGGAGCCGAGAAGGCGGTCAAAAGCCGGCAGCAACTTCGAATCGTAGACTTTGGAACGTAGGCTCAAAGGCTCTCAATTTCCCCGGCTGGATTCACCACCGCCGTGGTTCCCTACCGACCCGGTCAAGCGTTGCCTTCCCGCCAGGCGGGCCGTGAAAGTGATGCATGCCGGGATTTGTAGTTCGCGCCCCGGTCGCGCGTCATTTGTATATATTACTGGGTAGAATTCGAGCCGTATCCTGTCAACGCAGCCCAGGGATTAGGACCCCGAGTAGTCAAGGTATCGGCACTCTTTGCTCTCATCATATTGGTTAAAGAGTCTAACCAATGCATTAATTTTTCCCATACAGATTTTACTTGAAACTTGATCGTAAGAGGCTGAATCAGGCAGTTCTTAATTCTGCTTCTGCAATACGAGTTCTCAGTTCTGAGTTTTTTTCTGGCTTATCCTGGGACACCTATGAGTCTTGGGGCTTCACGCTCGCCGTCTTTAAGTGGAACAGCGCGCATGCGCGAACTTCCTCTTTCCCGGCTGGAACCATGGAAGGTGCTGAGTAAGTTTCTTCTCGTCCTTTCGAGAATCCTCCTCCATCCCCGAAACCAGAGGCTTTTGTCTTACTCTCTCTCGTCCCATCTGTAACCTGTCTCTTTGTCGACTTACCTGTGTGTTTGTGAAGTTGTGTGAAACTCCTGGTGGTCTTAGGCTGAAATGGGCTTCAGGAGGCCTTGGGGCGAGGTTTTGGAGTTACCGGGAACGAGATGTGAGAGCTGAATATGTGCGGAACCGACAGGTTGTCCAGTCTCTCGTCTTTTGAAGGAGGCTCAGAATCTCTGAATGGGGTTCTTTTTCCTTAGCTGGCATTTGTCCGAAGCGTCCCTGCCGTCAGGTCTCTGCTCACAGCATATGGAGCTTGAGGCTTGAACCAGGGTTGTCGTTGGGGGTTTGTTTGAGGTTTTTTGTTTTTTTTTTCTCTTGAGACTCTTAAGTTCTCTTAGACTCATACTCACTAATAGTCTAGGGATCAGTGTCTTGCGGCAGCCTTTTACTCTGAACGGTTTGCTCTCGGCATTTTTGTTGTCGTGGGACCCCGGGAGTGATGGTAGATTAAATGTGAATATGTTATTTTTGTGACTTGTTTAAAGAAAGTGGTCCGTGTTAAAGGTAAAGATTACTGGCATAGGAATTTTCTAAAATCTGCCTCTTACACCATAGCACGCTACAGCGGTTAAAGAAAGGTACGTTTGAAGTCAGTGGTGATAGTAGTAAGAGAGAGCGCTCAGTACAGAATGGGAGTGCTGCAGTGCTGTGAGCTTTCTGAATTAACGCTCTGTCTGCTAATGTTAGGGAGAAGAAAAAGAAGGTTCCTGCTGTGCCAGAAACCCTTAAGAAAAAGCGAAAGAATTTCGCAGAGCTTAGGATCAAGCGCCTGAGAAAGAAATTTGCCCAGAAGATGGTAAGTAAACTTTTTTGAGGCACCAAGTTAAAAGGCCCTACGATTGAAAATGAGGTGAATGTTTTTAACAAGGCTTGTTTACTTCAGCTGCTGTACCAGTGAGCATGGTTAACTTAGAACGACCTTTCCGAGTGAAGTTAGTTATCTCCCTCTTGCAATGTTAACGCATACTGTAGTGAGAAAGCTTCAAGGGAAGGGTTTTCTTGGAAAGAACTGATACTGCTAGTTGTGTTTGGGAGCTAAAAAGCAGATGAACAACTGATGTTGGTTTTCAGCTTCGAAAGGCAAGGAGGAAGCTCATCTATGAAAAAGCTAAGCACTATCACAAGGAGTACCGGCAGATGTACAGAACTGAGATTCGAATGGCTAGGATGGCAAGAAAAGCTGGCAACTTCTACGTACCCGCGGAACCCAAATTGGCATTTGTCATCAGGATCAGAGGGTAAGTTCAGTTTTTACTGCATTCTGGTTTTCAAGGGAAAGCTACACAATTCCAGTAAAATTTCACAGTACTTGTGGGGACCTTGGTTGTAAAACATTGGAATGAAAATATTTGGGTGGTGAGGAGAGTAATTTAGTGATTGTAAGCCCTGTGCCCTAAGCATCTATCCATTCTCGAATTGAGCACTTGAGTTCAGTGTCCTGGAGGTTACCTTCAAAAGCAGTTAAATTGGAGCCTCATAAGTGCTGTGACAAAGATGTATGCAAAACTAGCAGTAATAAGAGTGTTAGGGAAAGTTGTAAACGTGAAAGGTATGTGTCAAAAGACAGTTTACTTGCAGGGGAGGCAAGCTGGCAGAGGTAATAGAATACAGCTAACTAAAGGGAAAAGTGGTCTTTGTAACATGCGAGGCTTCTTACTTAGGTGTGACACGTGTTGCCCAAAATTGTAATAGTTAGTTTCTCGTCTTTTACTAGTAAAAATTCTGATAAAAGCTAAATGAATTTTTTGTATTTTTTCATTGCAGTATCAATGGTGTGAGCCCAAAGGTTCGAAAGGTGTTGCAGCTTCTTCGCCTCCGTCAGATTTTCAATGGCACCTTTGTGAAGCTCAACAAGGCTTCAATTAACATGCTGAGAATTGTGGAACCATACATCGCATGGGGGTAGGTGTCTCTGATTTCTGTTTGGTAAACTGGCAGGTGTTTTGACAGTGATAGTCTTATTGGGTCATTTATATCTGTATTTCCACATTCAGGTACCCAAACCTGAAGTCAGTAAATGAATTGATCTACAAGCGAGGTTATGGCAAAATCAACAAGAAGAGAATTGCGCTGACGGACAACGTGCCGATTGCTCGATCTCTTGGTAGGTTCTGCCTCTCGGGGCAAAGTGACTGTTGTTAATTATAAGTTACTGTATCAGACAAAATGATACTCTTTGGCATCTTGTGGCCTGGTTTTTCTCACTATTACGCATCTTCCTGTATTCCCTACAATATTTATGAAAAATGGAGGTATGATTTCGTTGGCTTGAGCTGTATCTTTGTAAATAAAGTCATGTATTTCCTTCTTTGTTACTTTACTCTTGATTTACTTCTAATTCTTTATGTCACAGCCTATCTTAATGCCTTAAAAATTTAATAGTCTCAAAATAAACAGTTTTAGTAACTTTAAATCATCTTGATGATTTATGTTCAGGCAAATACGGTATTATCTGCATGGAGGATCTGATTCATGAGATCTATACTGTTGGAAAACGTTTCAAAGAAGCAAACAACTTCCTGTGGCCCTTCAAATTGTCTTCTCCACGAGGTGGAATGAAGAAAAAGACTACCCATTTTGTAGAAGGTGGAGATGCTGGCAACAGGGAAGACCAGATCAACAGACTTATAAGAAGGATGAACTAAGGTGAGCAGCTACATCCTGAAAGAAGTTTACTTAATACTGGAGGAAAAATGACTATTGTGGTAAGGGTTTGGTTTGAGTTCTAAGCAGTATTTAGTGGGGCGGGTGGGGGGGGATCAACCATCATATATGATCGCAGTTGGTTTGGTTTCTCCTTTTGAGGACATTTATGGAGGGAAGAAAAAGCCTTTTTTTCCTTCCTACTTAATAGTGGAAACTGAATTGGTGTTTCTTACAACTTCCAGGTTTATGTTAATTCTTAGTTATTAAGGTGTTTAATGGGTTTTTTTCCCTTCCTTTCAGGTATCTACCATGATTATTTTTGTAATCCGGTCAGTTAATAAACAGTGACTGCTCTCAAATTGAAATGTATTGTTGTCTTGGTGACTTTTTGTTATCTTTTCTCAGCCGTCCCCTAACTATTGTGGCACATCTTGGTGTGACACAGTTAAGTCACATCAACAGCCTGTTGCGTGTAAAACTTAGGGTCCAGTTTGTATCTTGTGAAAAACATTCCTGGGGTTTATTGAAGATTTTCCTGTGTGAAGTCCTGATTTTTCACTTTTGAGTTGGCCAAAATGGGTCTATTCTAAGAAAGCCCATTTCACAGGCCTTTGTGCATGAGTAAAGGTTCAGTTTACAAATAAAAATCCGTTGCTGAAATTCCATTTTCTCAGGCTTTGGCTTGCCTATAAAGTAGTGAGTAAATGTGTCCATTTTCTTTTTGCATTTCACTTTTATGTTTTTGCTTTGCATCTTCTACCCATACTTACGTGA